TTTTCTGCAAACTAATGTGATTATCTGAGGTGAAATATCTGTTACAAGAAATGGAATCACACCCTGGAAATAAAAGAACTTTATTTCTTTCTGAGCTATAACACAGAAGAAAATAATAAGATCATCTGATTCTGTTTATACAGCTTTCATCTAGCAAACTGTGAGTTTATACGAAATTTTAGTTTAGAGATTCCTATTGCATTGGTGAAAGAAGCTGAAAACAAAGCAGAAAAGATCTAGTTTCTAGTCTCAGTTCTGTGATAGACTTTTTGCTTAGCCTTCAGCTTTTTTCTTTCTCAGTCGTGCTGTTCTGGAAATGGAGCCACTTTCCTTATTCAAGGAGGAAAGGGTGAGTATTTGCAAGACATGGAGATCATAGTTGGGATGCCCTTCACAGAAACAGATAAAAAGACAGACAGGACTTGATTTTTGTTCTAGTGACGGCAATTTTGCAATGATGCCAATCTCCTGATTTTAATGGTGTTATTTATGTCAAGAATTTTATTTTTATGAACTTTGGCAGACAGACCTTGAGTGCTGCATCTTTATAAGGCAACAAGAAATGACTGCATGAGGATTTATCATGCAAAGAGCACATCTCTTGCTCCATCTTTATCATCTTGCTGATGTTTTGTTTCCGCAGCCAGAAATTCTTTGCCCTGGAAAACCCAGAAATATAACTTGCAAAGATAGCGTATAATAATATGATGACCAAGCAGCAACAGGAGTAAGCTAGTGATATGGAATGAAACTGCTCCTCTAAGGAGGAACTGAGACTTATTGCATAACTTAGCAAAGCCACTGGCAGACAGTAGGTTTTTATAATGAAATTATTCCTTAATTACTTCTATGTAGACCATTATCAGGCCAATGGGAAAAGCAGATCTGTCAGTCCTTTATATGACTTCCCTGGCTCCTGGAGCAAGAGTTTCTCTGTCCCAGCCACTGCTTATCTAGAAGCATCTGGGACCTCCGTACCCTCCTCTCTGAAATTCCCCTGTATGGATCTCCTTCCTGCAAAATTCTGCACAAACTTTCCAGTTTAGCCTCACATTTCACAGTGACATCTGCTCTGGGAGCATACCCGTTTGCTGAATGTGCAGAGAAATAACAAACTATTTTCCCCTCCCTGGGTTCTTACAGATGCTGCCATCTGGCAGGTATGCCAGTGATACCCATGTGTGGTGATTCACCCTCATTTTCCATTACGTTCAACAGGAGAGACTCATGTTTTCCAAGAGTCTTTATTTCTGGCACCTATGACCTAAGTGAGATTTTCAAAGGACTAGGTGTGACTGGTGCATTCATTAACCATGCTGATCTATCTAGAATTGCTGAGAAGCTGATTGCTTAGAAGTTTGTGGACAAAAACGGTCATTTATGGGTCTGATGTAACTGCTGGTCTTAACCTTGCCTAGGAATAGACTTGGGCCAGGGTCAGAGGAGCTGGTGCGCAGGAGTGGTGCACAGGGACAACAGCAACTTTCCGCTTTCTCTCTGACCTGCTGAGTGCTGCTGCATGTCCTGGGAGAAAATAAAGAAATCACTGCAGAAGCTCTGCTGTTCCCAGCAGTTCCTCCCTGAAAACAGTAGCATCCTTCAGATGGTTAGCCAAGCATTAGGGCTGGGCTGAAAGATTCATGCAGGCCTAGACTTGAGAAAAATAGCTAGTCTTTGCTAGAGTTAAGCAACAGCATACTTGCTCTTGCTTGGTCATTTTGCGTAACATTGCAATAAACTTTCTGGGTACTTGCACATATCATGATAAAATACCTCTCTGCAGAAATATGTCCTGACCATAGAATCATAGAATGGTTAGGGTTGGAAGGGACCTCAAAGATCATCTAGTTCCAACTCCCCTGCCATGGGCAGGGAAACCCTCCACTACACCAGGTTGTCCAAAGCCTCATCCAACCTGGCCTTGAACACTTTAAGGGATGGGGCATCTGCAACTTCTCTGGGCAACCTGTTCCAGTGCCTCACCACACTCTGAGTGAAAAATTTTTTCCTTATATCTGATCTAAATCTGCCCTCTTTCAGTTTAAAGCCATTGGCTCCTTGTCCTATCACTACATGCCCTTGTAAAAAGTCCCTCCCCAAGTCTGTCTCTATCTTGTAAGAGATAGTAGTTACATCGCAGTAACTATGGTGGGTAGATTCCTATGTGTAGATAAATTGTAGATTTACCTGGGGTGAAAGCACGTACATTCAATGGAAGTAGTTAGTCATTGCTAATTAGGAAGAGTGCCATGCATCTCATCCTTAAATAACCTTCGAAATAGCTAAATTATACCTGTTTCTTTCAGCTCCCTCTGACAGGGATCCCAGTGTAAGTCACATATAGTATGTATATAAATCATGCCTATCATGTGTATGTAGGAAGGGGTTAAGAAGGTCTCCTTTCTCCTCCCCAGCTAATGCTTTGCTAGGCTAAAGATTGTCCATTTCATTCTACCATTTGTTCTCTTATTTTGGCTATTTTTCAAGCAATGCTAATATTTTGCTTTTCACTTTAGTAATTTCTAAAATATTGATCAAAGACCTCTCAAAATACTAACCTGTGCCCCTGACTGTTCTTTGTCTAATAATTTAATGAGCCCTTGAAATAATATCAGTTGAGGCTCACTTGCAGTGCGCACTGCGGGGCAGCATAGAGGTACTGAGCTATTCCTCAGCAAACTTGCTTCTGCCTTGAGTACTCAATTAGATGGCTATGGCACCAATCATTCTTACCCAGCTGGACTGAGTTGAAGATAATGAACTAATTAACTACTCAACTCAAGGTACCTATCCTGCCTACAAGAGGCAGGCCATTTCCTCCTGGCTGTGGAGGATGCAACAGTGTCCTTGGTGCTGCAGCAGCCCAGGCTGGTGAGTGACAGATGGCATCCTTGCATTAGGATCCCATGCAGAGAGTTCAGGGGGACACAGCATCCTTTTTTATAAACAGACACTGTTTTGGCCCTATCTTAGGTTTCCAGTTCTTCTAATGTTCTGTTTTCTAAAGCTCATTTACCACAGTTATGCCAGACTACCTTCCCCAGCTCTTTGGCTCACAGTTTAGTTCAAGCCCAAGAGTAGCAAGGTCCCAGCTCTTTCTCTGCCCTCAGAGCCCTAGGTGCTGGCATCGTTCTGCCTGGATGACGGGAAAATACGCTCGCAATATTTGATGTCCAGAAAAAAATAGCTTACTCAATCTTTTCTTTGCAAACAAATCTTATTTGCTCTGTTTAATATTTACCAGTAGACATTAACTTAATGCTACCCAGCAAAATGAAGAAAAGGGAAGAAACGCAGTGAAGGAGAGGTCCGGCACTGTAAGTATCATATCATACTTTCTTAGAAGTCTTTGAATTCATATTGTCTGTGATCTCTGCCATTTATTGCACAATACTTAATTCTGAGATGAATTTATTTTGTACAGTAATTGGAAATTATTTTAGCTTTTGGAAGCATGTTCTAAATATTAGAAGCAGGATACAGTCAGTGATTCAGCTCCTAGCTATAGTGGCAGGATGACTGGGGAACAAGATCCAAAATGTGTACTCACAGTCAATACCAAGATGAAGAACAAAACCTTGTCTCTGTTCCCAGAGGAGTAAATTTATTTGCAATCTTGATGTCCAGACTACTCCAGGCTGATGCGGGGCTAATGAAAGTAGCATCCCTGTACCTCCAACATGCTTAAATACCAGGCTGCTTGCAGCCAAGTGGCCTGGAAGAGAAATTAATCTCTCTCAAAAGTGGATTTGGGGAATTATGAAAAGAGTGCTTACCAGACCAGTGTGAATTACCTCCATTTAGAATGTCTTATTTTTTCAGAGTCAGTGTTTCTACCTAGCATTTTAGACATGCTGAGCACACCTCCCGTACTCAGCACTTCCACCGCTTATATCTCCAGTGTTTCATACTGGGCAGCCAGAAAAGGGGGAACTCAGAATTAACAACTTCCCATGAAAAGTTCGATGTAAGAGCTAAACCTGGCATTAGACACACAGTCTCAGGCAGAATCCCATGCTCCAGAATAAGTGTACAGCTGCTATGAACAACATTCAGACTGTCTCTATTTTCCTGCAGGCTGCTGCCTCCTTCGCGTTTTTGAGTTTCTGTCATTTGAGATAATTTAGGTGAGGCACCCTATGGAGAACATTCTTCTCCAGTACATTTCATGGTTCTTCCCTTGAAAAGGGCAGAAGAGAGACTACAGGATTATGTAGAATTTTCTTATATCCATTAAAAGAAGAGAAAAGACCATTGAATCGCACATATATGGCAAAGCAAAATCCACTATAGCTTGTCCTAAGCTCTTGAGTCTTAAGCTTTGAAACCTTGCCGATAATTTATGTGCAATACAAAGAGTTAATAAACTTTCTTGGTTTATTCTCAATTTGCTGAAACATTTAAGGTAATGTTTTGAAAAGATGCAGTTCTTGAGTTCATATCTGCTACACAAAAGGCAGAAAGATAAGAACAGTTTAAGAGGTGACCATTTAGACGGATTTTATTCACAGCTATAACTGTACCACTGCAGTGCTTGAAAACTCAAGTTGTAACAAGACCACAATTACTACAGAAACCTATCAGCAAAAGCGAGTCCCTCTGTCAAAGTGCCTACAAAACACATGGGTCCCATGAGTAGGTGAGCTCAGCCATGCACCCAAAGGCACTTAGGAGTGCAATGAGGCCATTCTGGTCAAAGGCAAGAACTACTTCAGGCATAATACCTCACAAAAGCCTACACAACATTGATTCTTCCCCAGTGATGTCACATTGATATCTTTATACCTTTGCTCATTGGTCAGAAACTGAGAGAACTGACTAGAAATAGACTATCCAGGAGGCCAAATAGAAGAGTATTTCTAAGCAGAGCGGTAATCCTAAAGACTGACATCTGAAAATCAGTATCTAGAATACAAAAACTGTTTTTATGCAAGAAATATGGAATTCTCTAGATCTAAAAGTTGCTCTATTCTTTCCTAACAGAACTGTTCAGAAGGTAAATGAAGCGTGCGTTGTATTTGTGTTTGTTGCTTCTTGGACTTCAAGTCCAGGGTGAACGGAAGTCCAACCTCGATAATGAACAACAGCAACAAAAAATACCCCATTCCCCAGAAGATCATTCCCACACTGAAGGTGAAAACTCGGCTCATGTCAAGATAGCCCCCAGCAATGTTGACTTCGCATTTAGGTTTTACAAGCAGGTCAGAGAGGAGGCGGGCAACAAAAACATTTTCTTCTCTCCTTTGAGCATCTCCACTGCCTTTGCAATGCTCTCCCTGGGGGCCAGGTCAAACACGCTCAGTCAGCTGCACAAAGGCCTCGCCTTCAACCTGACAGAGATGGAAGAGCAGGAGATCCATGAGGGATTTCAGCGTGTCCTTCAGCTGCTGAACGACCCTCACAGAGAAGTCCAGTTGAGCATGGGTAATGCCCTGTTTGTAGATGACCGACTGAAAGTTCTCCAAAAATTTTCTGATGATGTCACAAATTTTTATTATTCTGAAGCTATTTCTAGTAACTTTCAGAATTCTTCAAAGGCTACAAAGGAAATCAATAACTACATAGAAACAAAAACCCATGGAAAAATTGTTGATTTACTTCAAAGTCTTGGTCCAGGCACTGTGATGGTTCTGGTTAACTACATTTTCTTTAAAGGTGAGTGACAAACGTGGGTAGCAGTTATACACGTAAGCTCTGGAAGTCTTATCCAGATCTAAGAAACATAACTTTTTTCACACTGTGAACCTATTCTATCATCTAATTTAAAATATATCTTTCTACTTTTAAACAATATAAAGAAATATTTGAAAGCCAGGTGCTGATCAATGTCATATCAATTTTAAGTCAGGTTCAGAACTGAAAATATTCAGAAGGGATGAGCTTGGGAACTTACAGTCATTTGTTGAAAGGCATGGGTGTTTGGCAGTGCAGGACATGGTCAAACACAGATGACACTTGTATGAGAGGAATAAACCTGGAGCCTGGATAGTGGGAGTCTGTGGAAGTTTTACCATTGCCTTAGCAGGCAAAGGCTCAGATCTTTTCCACAGCAACTCTCAGACTATATTTATTTATTTTGCGTTATTAGAACCATTGAAGTGATGTAAAGCTTCTTTTCATGGCAAGGGAACAAGCATCCTTAAACTGAGATAGGCTTGTTGTTGCCTTTACAGTTCAAATACAGGATTTTAAGCATCAACTACTATGACATGCTTTTATTAGTCTCTTTTTCAGTTTATTGAATTCTATGCTCATTCTTTTGTCAAAAGGCTACTGGGAAACACCTTTCAACGAATTGAACACCAGAGACGATGACTTCTGGTTGAATGCCAAGAATTCTGTTAAGGTCAAAATGATGCATCAAAACAAGCACTTTAATATCCACAGGGATGAGAAGTTTTCTTGCTGGGTAGTAGAAATCCCCTACAAAGGAAATGCTGTTGCATTGTTTGTTCTGCCTGACGAAGGGACAATGAAGCAGGTGGAGGATGCTCTGATAAAAGAAACAGTGTCTAACTGGATGCAATCACTTGAAAAAAGGTAGTCTTTTAACTGCTGCTTTGTTTAAATATCAAACAGGACGTAACTACTCATGCAGGCAAGGTAAAGCTTACCTTTGAGTTGCTAAGCACAGCTCTGAGGAACAAGCATCGCATAGTTTGTTTAACTCAGACAAGGTATCCAGTGATTTTATACCTAAGTGGAACTCTCTCCTCAGCTCCCCCAGTCACAGCAGCGGGAGTGCTCCCAGCTGTGAGGATCCTGCATAGGGGTACATTGTGCTCAGGAACCTACCTGGAGTAGGAAGAATCCAGTTCAAAAGAAAATACAATTATTTCTCTCCAGTCTGGATGATACTTTCCAGCTAGTCACTTTCATAAACCAGCATGGTGTTCTTGCACCACTGATCAGACTGTGACTGGCGGGACAAATACTTCAATTTCTGCTCCTCTAACATGGGATTTATCACTGTCTTAGAAAGGCAAGCCTTAGTTCCATGAGTATTTGAGATGGATGTATACCTGCAACAGCTATTGCATCGAGGGATCTTGCAATAGCAAACTTACTTTTTTTGTTTATTTTTTAAAAGGAAAATCTACCTGGACCTTCCAAAATTCTCTATCTCTGCCTTCTATGATATTAAAAGCCTGTTAGAGAAAATGGGTGTGACAGAGGTGTTCAGCGACCAGGCTGATCTCTCTGGAGTGGCCGGGAAAACTGGTCTGACGGTTTCCAAAGTAAGTATGCGAACAGAGACGGTAATCAAGAGATTTGTCTGTCCTGCTTACATGTGAGTTTTATGTCCGCGAATAGGCTGATCCCACTTCTGGTGTGTAGTCATGGCTCACTGACGGTAATAAAGGAAGAAGAGGGTTAGGGATTATATGGCTGTTTTTCATACTGTTTAATATTAAATTGTTTACTGCATAGCAATCTTGCAAATTCACTTGAAAGCCTCTGAAGAAGAAAATAGATCTGGAAAGGATAACAGGAATAATTTCACAAAAAGACAGTGTTAAATAATTAATGCATGACGAGTCATAGTTATGACATAAGTTTGGGAATAGTAATTCTTATCCCATGTATACACCTTTCATTACTACATTTTCTAAGCACCTCAGAATCTATATGGACAACAAACTCATGGGACACGGATATCCCAATTTCACAAACAAGAAACTGGCATACATAAATAAAGCAATTTCCTAGTGTCCCAGGGAATATATGCCTTTTGTCAGGAGGCAACTGCTCCTTCCCCTCTATTCTGCACTTGTGAGACCACCTCTGGAGTACCGCATCCAGTTTGGGGCTCTCCAGGGCAAGGGAAATGTGGACATACTGAAGCAGAGCAAGTCCAGGATGGTCATGTGGCTGGAGCATGGGAAGTATGAGGAGAGGCTGGGAAGCCTGGAGTTGTCCGGCCAATAGAAGGGAAGGCGAAGTGGGGTTCCTAGTACTGTCTACAGATACCTATTAGGAGGTTGCAGAGAAGACAGACTGAGACTCTCCTTGCAGGTACACAGTGACAGGACAAGAGACAATGCACAGAAGATAGAAAACGGGAAATTCTCATCAGATGTTATGACAAGAAATTCAACGTGAGGGTGATCAAAAACTTGGATGGGTTACTTAGAAAGCTATGAAATGTCCATCCTCGGAAATACTCAGATTCTGATTGAATGAGATCCTGAGCAACCTTATCTAGCGCCAGAGTTGACTCAGTGTAGGTTGATTGGTTGCATCGAATGACCTCTAGAGGTCCTTCCAAACCATATTATTTAAAGAAATTGTGATTCCCTACATTGAACTATTACATGTGTAAACACCTGGATTACAGATACGAGTGACTAGAGGAAGGGTAGCAGGACCTCATGAGAGGAATTTCCGATGTGTTATGGACAATGAAGAAAAAACATGGAGGGCTGATCAAAGTCAATGAAATAATACATGCGAATTTAGCAATATGAATTTGCTATACCTACTGTAGAAAGCTGTGTAAAGTCAAGTCATATCAGTGGGCTGTGTTACAGAAAGACACCCTATAAAGCTCGTCCCTATTGTGTCTTTGCAGAAATATTTTTTTGCATACACAGAAATTGATGCAAAATTAACACCTTCTGTGTTAAATATTAAGGAAAAAATCTCACTCTGAGAAAAAACAGAACAATAAATGTTCTCTGTGTTGCTCAGTGTCTTCAAGCAGTCAGGCTTCACTCTGCCACAGTGTTGAAGAAAACTCTTCCTGAACTCAGGACAAACTTCGCTTGTCTTGGAAATGCTGAACATGAGGATCTTTTTCACATCAGTTCTACATTCATTCTGTTCTTGCTTTTAAAAACTACCTTCTCACAGTATTAAAGCAAGCAAGTTTGTCCCCAGCTGCTTCTCGCTCTTCTGTATCTTAATTTTAATCTTTGCTTCCCTTGCAGGCAATTCACAAGGCCGTGGTGGATGTTAGGGAGAACGGCACAGAGGCTGCTGCAGCGACCGTGGTAGAACTGATGCTAATGTCTGCAGGACCTGCTTCTCCTCCTCCTCTTCATATCAAATTCAATAGGTCCTTCCTGATGATGATTATTGACAAAACCACCCTCAACATCCTCTTCATGGGGAAAATTGTGAACCCAGTTGCCAAGGAAGACTAGGCCAGAGCACTTGTATTCCCCAGCGCAGAGAAAAGTGACTCCTTTGCCAAAAGGGACTAGAATTGATCCTGAATTAACAAATAAATAAATATTGCATGAAGTTATTCTTCTCTTACAAACAAACAGTTGCAGACAAGCATGAGTATGCCATGTTTAAAAAATATCCCAGGCCAAATAAGCAGCCATGAAATCTTCAGCAGACAAACATTTCACTACCTCACTCACTCATCTCTGGTGCCATGGTCCCTTGCAGGCAGATAAACCTTCCTACTCCTGACTGAGAGTCTCCCATGTCCTGAATGTCAAGTCCTCAGCTCGGAAGCCACAAATATATCTCGTTCAGCTGAGAAACCATTTTTCCCTCCCTCTCATTCCACTGTGAATCCCAGGTGAAGTCTCCTTCATCTTTGAAGTCCTTCCAGGGCTCAGTGGCCAAGAAGGGAAACAGAAACATAGACCTGTGAAACGTTTCCTGTTCTAGATGGTGGTTGCTCCTGGGTGAAGAATAACTCCTTTCTTTCCAGCTTGACGACTGCCTCCTACCAGCTCCCAGCCCCTTGCTCCCATCTTTGTTCCTCATTAGTTGCTCCAGAGTAAGGGGCTTGACTTTTCTGGCAGGTCAGGAATTTAACTTCTGTGTCAGTTAAAGCTGCACATCACTGCACAAATGGTCGTCCTTAATGGTCTTGTGCATGTACAGTAATGCCTGAGCTCCTTAGGAGAACTGGATGTGGTAGCTGGAACCCTCCAGTTCCAGAAACTGGTGACAGCAGCCTGGGATGTCATGTCTTCCTTGTCCAAATGCCAGTTAATCATGCTGCCTGCCACTTGCTTCTGCAAGCTCAGGCTGATGAGTGCCTCCACAATATCCCTCCCCATTGAGCTGGTGTTTGGGGTGCAGCAAGATGACTCAGATGCCTTCCTGAGCATTGAGCAGGCAGAAGCTGGTGTTACCAGCAGCACAATGTGGAGAGCTGCGCTGTGGCAGATTAATATCATCTATTGCCAATTAAAAATAGAATAGGACAGTAAGAAACAAAGACGTAACTAGAAACACCTTCTCCACACCCCTCCCTTCTTCTCAGGCTCAATTTCACTCCTAACTCTTCTACCACCTCCCTCTGAGAAACACAGGGAAGTGGGGAATAGGGATTGCAGTCAATTCATAACACTGAGTCTCTGCCATTCTTTCCTCCTCACACTCTTCCCTGCTCCGGCATGGCGTCCTTCCCACAGGAGACAGTCCTTCATAAACTGCTCCAGCATGGATCTTTCCTATGGGGTACAGTCTATCAGGAACAGACTGCCCCAGTGTGGGCCCTCCATGGGCCATAGATGTTGGCAGGAGCCTGCTCCAGTACAGGCTCTCCATGGACTGCAGCGTCATTCAGGGCACACCCACCTGCTCCAGTGTGAGGTCCTCCACAGGCTGTGATGTGGATACCTGCTCCACTGTGGTCCTGCATGGACTGCAGGGGGAAACCTGTGTCACCAGGGTCTTCTCCAGGGACTGCAGGGGAATCTCCATTCTGGAGATCTTTGGATCACCTCCTCCCTACCTTCTTCACTGACTTGCATGCCTGCAGGGCTGCTTCTCTCACATTTTTTTCACTCCTTCACCTCTCACAGCTGCTGCAGAGTTTTTACCGTTTCTTGAATACGCTTTCCCAGAGGCGGCACCACCTTGCCTGAAGGGCTCAGCTGTGTCCTGCAGTGGGTCTGTTGGAACCTGCTGGAATCAGCTGTATCCAGCACGGGGCAGCCCTGGCCTCTCCTCACAGAGGCTGCCCTGCTGCCCTCAGCCGTCAGCAGCTGGGCACCAACACCTCATACACAGAAGCGCAGTCCTAAGGAATACAGCAATAAGTTCACTAAGGGTAAGGACATTCGGTGGATGGATGGAACGCTTTGATGGTGCTAATTAACTGTCAGGAGCTGCTGTTAGGATCCCTTCACAGGGTCACCTCAGCATCAAGAACTGGTGGGCATCCACACGCTTTGCAAACGCCACCTGAGCTGAGTGACACCACCTCCTCCCAATGTTTCCAGCCTCAGCTCTGCTTTCCTCCTGAGGAGCGGCGGGAACCAGAACTTTACCTGAGAGGATCTCAGGCTCCTCGCTGCTGCCGGAGGGTTTTGGCTTCTGGTGAGGCTGGGTCAGAAATGGTAAGTGCTTCTGCCATTGTGCTTCAGTTTGGGAAAGCCTTGACAGGTCGTACGGATGGGAGAAAAACAGAGTGTGCATATTTGCAGTGAGAGATAACAGAACCTTTCACGTGGGCAACCATAGACCTTTTCACACACCTACAGGCAAAAAAAACCCCAACCTCTACTCAATCTATTTGCACGGACCTAAAGATCTGCTTAATGCAAAATGTCTTCTCTGTAATCATCCCCTTGTCTCCAGATTTTAAAGACAGAAAACTAGCAATGTTTGAGAAATGCTCTATGGAAAATCTTAGTCAGCTGTACCTTTCTAACCCATTTTCTCTCTCAGGAAAACAAAATCAATTGTTTTGGCAGTGCTTGGAGGGGCAAACCTCCACTGCTGGAGCCAATCCAAGGATTTCAGCTCTGCACAGGACTGCCAAACTACAAGTCTCTTTATCCACAGCTACTAATACAGCTGCATTGTCATTGCTCCCCTGCTTTGGGAGTGGTGAGGTTTGGGTGAGCAGTTAACTGTGCACTATTTGGGACACGTTAGAGAGAAGGCAAGAATGAGAGTAAAAAGGAAACTGTTTGTATTACTTCATTTCTTCCCTACAACTGCAAATAAGAACAACCTCAAAAGAGTTTTTAAAGGCAGGCTAGTGATTTCTCAAATAAGCATTTAAGTTCAAAGGCTGTTGAAGATTTATATGGGTTTTGGAAAGGAGCTTAAAGAGCTGGAAGAGAGCAGGAGCGTTGAGCTGATTAGCTTAGGAATTTTAGCTCATGGTGGAACTAGGAGAAGTATAGCAAGGACACAACAATTTAACAGAAAAAGTGAAAACTTTACAGATGTTGAGAAAGCCTATCATAAAATCAAAGGCGACACAACGGCCCAACTGTAAATACCCTGAATCAGCTCTAGCTGAAACTGAAATTCTACCAAGGATCTGTAAGCACAATGACAGATAAAACTAGACTGCATTAACTTTACAATGTTTTACCTCCGTTTTGCACAGATTTTAACAGACAGATCTCTCTGTGCCTTCGTTAGTCACCTATCTCTTGCTACTTTTGGTGTTAAGGCCCTGTTTGAGAAAACAGTCAGGCAACACTGAAGTGCTCAGAAACTCTCTTGATTTCTCTGAAATGCACCTGTTGACATAATTATATATAATCACCAATACAGAAAGGATCAGAAAAAAAAAACCACCATGATTTCCCCTTTGCTAACATAAAATTAGGCATTAAAAAATGTACTATAACAGCTTATTACGTTGGAGTCTGTTCTAGGTCTTTTCAAGTCCCCCGTTTACATAGGGTTATAGTACCTCTCAGTTTACTACAGTATCACCTTTATAACTGCCTTGCAAGGAAGGGAATGCATCTGGGGATCTCAGGTCCACACGGTTAAAGGAATTCCATAAGACTGTGGAGAAGGCCAATACGCTCAACTTTGTTGCTAGGAGAAGCAGGCACTGGGAACCCACTCAGCATAAGTTATTTCTAACAATACCTGAGGCTTCTTGGTGGTTGAGAATTCAAGTAAAGAATTTCTCATGAGCCTTTGGGAAAACTGCTGGCTTAGCCAACAGCTATTATATGCACAGTTAAGTGGATTTTTAGCCAGCTACGTTTCTTTAAAGATGTGGCAGTACAGGAAATGTTGGGGCAGCTTGTAACAAAGGGGCACCATCAGGATTTTCGTCTTTTAAGACTGTAACTATTGCTAGCTCTGACAATGCTTTCCATGGAACTTGTTAGTCCTTATTTGAAAATCTCTGAGTCTTTAGGCATGTACAACACATTTTCATCAGAATTCGGCATGCCTAAATGCTGTGTGGAAGTCAATGGGAGCTGTAGATGCATATCAGCTGTCTGTACTGCAGGTGGGACTGATTGTGGTATTTAAATATGGCACCGAAAAAGGAAGCAGAAATCCACAACTTCTGTCTAGTTTAGGAGTAACAGGCATTCTTTCCAAACCTCTACAGGGTCTGTGACATTCAATGCATGCAAGGTGCCTTTGCACTGCTCTTTGTCCAACTCTCATTCAAAAACAAAGTGACCAAAACTGAGCAATATCTATTCAGTTCTGAGAGGGACAGTCTACAACGCTGGACATTCACCTTAAGATCTAAAAAAATTCAATAGCTGAAGTATTGTGACTGTTCAGAAAGTGGTCAAGCTGACCCTGATGAAGCAGTTTACATGAAGAACAAGTCCCTCTCCAAAACAGCAGATTGCGTTAGACCAAGCTTGAGATGCTAGTTCCCCAAATGTCTCTGCTCCTCCACCTACAGCCCTGCTAAGGCCCACATGTGCGCATGGATGGGGAAGGAGAAAGCAGCATCAGGATTCATCCTCCCTGGCAGGATCAGTTTTGAACAGATTAATTTCCCATCTTGCAGGCTGCTTGGTGTGAGGATTTTTGGTAGTCCCTAAGGTTTGTAGGTGGAGAGTGAGTTGTGTGAAAGTCCTCTCATAACTTTTAAATTAAGTGGATGATATCAGCAATTCTAAACTAAAAAAAAAGGTATCTCGAATAAAAGCTTTGAATGCCTGACACTTTCCCATCTAGCTCCCTATCTCTTGCATTCCCTGTGCTATTACAGAAGGAAAGTAAATTAGATGTAAGCTAAACGTGAGCCATCTCTCTGGCTCAGCCATTGAACCACGTGTTGTAAGGGTTCAGGGGAAGAATTCTCAGTTGCACCAAGGAAATAGAGGGTTTATTCTTTTCTATACATTTCTAAAAATTAAACAGTTTGATCTGGAACTGATCTGAAACACATGCAAGAGCCTCAGCATAACAACAGAAACAACTTAGAAAAACAATTTAGAAAACT